ACCATGTGGAACAGACTGTCAGTGAACCTCCGTTACAGTGAAACTACAACCCGGTTCAGAAGTCTCCTTGATGATTTTTCTTCTGAAAGTGGATTATGTCACCTATTGAATATCAATGTATTCAATAACGATTTATACAAACAAGGTCCATCATCCATTTAATTGCTTGAAAAGCAAAATAAAACCTTTAAATCTTTCCACGTCTATTTTATTTTATTTCTATTTATCTTAATATATGAAATCTGATTACGTTCGTGTTTATCATTATTTCCGTTATTAATATCGTTATTAGTTTCCCGACACATTAGATATTCTTTTTATATCTCCTTATCCTTCTAAACATATTTAAATCCAGAGTGTCCTTTGAAATCAATTTTGACTTTCATAGCATCAATCTTAATTATTATTGCACAAATATTTATATTAATATCCGATTTCACTCTGTATACTATTACATAAATCTAAATGTATTCATCCGAGCGCTTTAACGGATTTTTATCTTATTTTTTCAATTGCTGGTTTCCTTCTGAGGTTGATATTCATTACACAATTATTATTCTTATCATGGATCAAAACTTTTCACTAAGTGTTCACTTCTTTTCTCTCTTCTTTCCCTCTAAATAAATATTATTCTTAAGATTACGAAGTTTGTAGTTAAAACAATAACTTGTGTTGCACTTAAATTAAATTCTCAGACCCGTTTTATCTTCACTATGCATATATGACTCATGCATATTGATATTTTATTATCCTTTTCATTTAATTGTAACTTTCATAGCATCACTCTAAACTATGTGACTGCACAAACATTTATTCTAGCGTCATATCTTACTGCGATAAGTTATTTTTTCTTAATTATTTTTTGTTACTAATTTAACGATACACACATAGTCGTTTATTCTTGTTCTGTGTTCGTAAACACGCCTATTAGACTGTCTGTGTATTTCACGTCTCCTTCATTTCTATTCCTTTATTTTCTCCATTTCCTTCTTTGAACTCAATTCAATATTCTTCTCAATTACACAGCCCGATTTATTATTATTAATATTCTACTATTATTACTCTAATTTTTTTAAATATGGCAAGTATAATGCTAACATCATTGAAAATAGTGTATTATTGCATTTTTTGAAAAGAGACCCGAAATGTACCCATAAGATGTTTGTGAATAATAATAATAACATACAATTTGTCTAAAGAAATTTCACGAATACTGAAACATTTAGTAGATTCATCCAACCACTCCATCCAATCCCTCACAAAATTCCTAGGCCAAATTAAGTACATTCAAATCAACGACGAACTGATGACATCCTTCGATGTAACAGCGTTATTCACCTCAATTGAACTGAGGTTAGCAAAAGAAACTATATCCCTGCTCCACACCAACGACACAAACCTCGCTAAGTACACGAAGCATCAAATTCAAAGTCTATTAAAACTCATCAACTTTTGCCTAACAACATATTTTCAATTCAACAACAAAATCCACGAACAAACGAAAGGGACACCAATGGGATCACGAATATCAGAACTGATAGCAGAAGCAGTGGTGCAAAGACTAGAAGCCGCGATATTACAATCAGTCAAGCCAAAAATTTGGATTCGTCAGAATGAATGAGCTGGAAAACACTTACAAGCTGATCAACAACGTCTTCGATGACGTCAAGTTCACAATGGAACAGGAGTCAAACAACAAGCTATCATTCTTCGATATATTAATCACTAGAACCGACACAGGAAAACTGGAAACTCAAATGTATAGGAAACCGACCCATACAGATCAAATTCTCAACTACAATAGCAACAACCCAAGAGCTCACAAAATCAACTGCGTACACACTTTGTTCAAAAGGGCGAGGACACAATGCAGGACACTGGCAGCACGAAAAAATCAAGAGAAGTAGCTGAAGGACCTATTTCAAAAGAACGGCTACCCAATCAACTTTATCAAAAAATACCGACCGCACGCAGCATCAGAACCTAACTGAAGCACAGAAATCAACAAAAGGATCGCCCTACTATACATAAAAATCATATCAGAAACAGTAACAAGACCGCTGAAAACCTTCGGGATAGGTGTGGCACACAAACCAACAAAAGCACTACAATCAATTCTATGCAAACCAAAGGATGAAATAACAAAGGAAGACAAATCAAACATCATCTACAAAACAAATTATGCCAACTGCGAAAAACACTACATCGGACAAAGCGGACGCTCCCTTCACCTTCGCTTACATGAACATCAATTAGCAGTCAAACGCCATGATATCTCCTCACTTATATCAATACACGTGGACAACTGCGGACACTCATTCGATTGGAAAAGTGTGGAAATCTTGGACAGAGGAAATCCCAAAAACACCAGAGAATTTTTAAAAGCCTACACTCAGGCCAATCAGCAATCAACAAACACACTGAAATTGATCCAATTTATCAACCAATCAGGAAAATCATGCATAAATATGGGAACAGAAATCAAACCAATGGGAGACACAACCAAAACAAAGAAGTAAACAATGATAAATTTAAGGTCAATAAGAACCAATCAACGTCGAGGTGTACAGAACAAGCTGTGAAACGCATATGGAGAAATTCGAACACTTCACTTCTATCCGAAGTTTGTGCTGATGATGTCGTTCAGAAGAACGATGAAAGCCCCACGACCAAACCATCCAGCTCAGAGAACAAAACTCCATCAAAATGACGTGAGTCGGATATATACCCGGAGAATGGTAGATGAGTTGAAAACGTATATGATATAGACTTACTCTTTGTCCTGAGAAATCCTCTGATGATGTGAACAGAGAAACAAGAAGCCTCGACAAACTATGGAAGCTATTTTTGGGGACGTTATTTCATCTAATTCAAATCTTGTGAAACAGTAGCATTAATTTTTGTTTTACAGACCATGAGCTTTCTTTTCATGTATGATTGACTGCCATAACCTTGTCTGTTACAGAACTATTTTAATTCAAACGTAATATTTTTTACTCTATTTTCTACTTTAATCTCCAGTTCTGTATGTAGTTGTATTTTCCTAATTGTTTGTGCGTTATGGTCTGGTTAGTCATCTATTTATTCATGCATCTCTTTACACTGATCTGAGTCGAGAAACAGATCGGAATTAGGCATAAATTGGGTAGTGTTGACTTTTTTTCTCTCTCATGCTTGCCAGCCAATCAGGTGATAGAATCTTTTTCGTCTTTCTACCCTAAACAGTTCGTCTCACTTCGAACTCACGCATACCAGCCTCAAGGTTAAGCCAATCAGTCTATCGCGTCAATGTCTTAATCTAGACTTAGACAAGTTATCCTCTGCATAGTAGTGGGTGGACAAATCAAGGCATAACAACTAAAGATGATTAGGCAGCTTCAGTTGTAGTGTGTCCAGTAAAATTAATGTGGTCAGGATTAGTGTCGCAAACGTACAAGACTACATATTTCGAGTATCGATTTACGGCCACATGGGTGTAAATTATGTTCGTATTAATTATTTAACTAAGATTGTTGTTATCCTCGATCTCTTTGTAATTCCAATCCTAAAATCTTTCATATTGCAACTAACCAGCCAAATGCCGCATGGTGTAGTGGTTGTAATTTCTATAAACCCCATCGCCCTAACCTTCAAATATCTGTCAAACGTACTAGGACTAATGCAGTCGAGCGACTAAACTGTTGACTTTAAAAGATATTGAAGGCATAAGGATGTATCCTGGTATCAGGAAGTGATTGCAAGGAAATTAACTGTTTTTCACCAGCTCGTTATAAATGTGTTGGATAGTGAAAAAGATACAAGAGGCAAACTTGGAGTCGTTGGGTCTTTTTAAGGTAATATAGTACTTAATAAGAGAATACCTCATCAATGAGTTGAATTTATATTGTCAGTCTGGAGTTCCACTCATCAGTTGCTATCTCAGACAATGGAACTCTTGATACATTTTCAGACATGTGACCCATGTTAAATGTCGCGACTGAACTGATAACCCTAGGTATATTAACGACATTGGTAACAACCCATGGAGATTGAAATAGGCTTGGGAAGAGTAATAAATTAGTAATGTTTGCTTACATACAGTAGATTATTTCTAACATTCAGATCAGTAAGATCCAATGTCCAATATCTTTCTCGCAAACCTATGTTATCCGATTGACTTCTTTGCGCTCGCTTCTTGTTGTTTAGGCATGGTTCTAAGTTTTTGATAATATCACCTGGATGATAGTCTAGTCAATGGACTACCTTTATTCTAGTAAGTTCGGTAGTTATTCGTAGATTTGCATATATTGTAGTTGGGTGAGTGCGTTTGTCTCAAGGCAGTAGGGCTTATAGGTACCAGTGGCTACCACATCACCGGAGAGGAGGTTGGTTGGTTGCAATGCAAAAATGATACAATGATGGTTCAAATAGCAAGAGATGATTGTGTCAAGACTAAATAAATAATTTACTTAAATGATTGTGTGTAAAAAGGACAGAAATGAAAGTACAAGAGGGAAACGGAGACGATAATAAGATACATAGGAAGTAATTACTGGTTTCCACAATTATAACTGTAGTAATTTGAGTCATGCATCAGACACAGCTGGTCCGCGAAGGGGATGGTTTAATGAACGGAAACTTGGTGAGAAAAACCAATATATTGTTTCATGCAACTTGCACAGTGCCCTGATAAAATACTAAAATCATAGATTGAATGCATTATTGCTACCACGCATTACTCATATCTGTCAGCATAAGCAATATACACAACCGTGGTAGTCTGTAGGTGAGTATGTCTGTCAAGTCTTCTCTCAAAGCTATTCACTGATGGAGATGTGGTCACTTCGACTGGGAGAATATTCATAATAAGGGCAACCCTTAATGAGAATAGTGAGGGCGTGAATAGACGTTCGCTCTTTCGTGTGCAGTCTTTCGGTGGTTGTCACCATGAGAGAAGTGATGATGTTCCGTTAATTTAGTCGCATTGAAGCGGCTTGGTATACTTGATTTTCTTTAAGCTCAAAAAGCGGATTTCAAATTGAGGCCGTACGTACGTCTCAAACATCGTTCGGAACAAATCTGAGGTGATAAGATCATGTTGTCTTCGCATAAAGGGGAAATTTGTTTTCTCCACATCCTCCATATTGTTTGATCTGCTGTCTCAGTTCTCTGTGGTTACGAGCCCGAGATCGCGATATGAGGAAACAACCAGGGGCGGATTTCCATAGAGGATGAATGCACCTTGCGTCAAATGGGACAGAATATTCATAACATGACATTTTTACATGTTGCTTTTTAGCCGACTATCTACTGATCATTCCTCTATTGCTTGAAGATAAGTTACGCAATTACATAAATACGAAATGATCAGTCGTCTGGTGTCAGATGAAGTAATGGTAACTATTATATTTTTCTATAATCTGACAATACTACACTTTCGGATTAGTAAAGAAATAAGGTAGTCCATAGAAAATTCAAAGTCAGTAGTATCGATTTGTAAAGACAGATATCTGGCTCGGTTTTTAAGTGACAACTGTACAAGTACATTTTAGGGTCATCTAGACCGCTGCGTACAACTAAGGTTCTATGTTATGTATTGTGCTTAAAACATTATTCCACCTACTTCAAGTCTTAATTTCTAGATTTTTTAATTTTTGACTTGTATTGCCACTGATTAATGTCCCAAGTTTTGGGAAATCTTTGGGGTATTTTGGAGAAACTCCCGAAGTCAAATGACCTTCACCAATGTTTGTTGAAATTTTGGAGTTTTTGCGCCATTTCCCCAAAGTTCACTGTAGCGGCTTCCCAAAAATTGGGAGCTCGGGGTCTGTTAATTTCCTTACTGAGTGTATGTGGGTTTTGTGCTACCACTGTGCTGTCAACTATGCTTCATTTCCAGCTCTGTCCACGGACTACTCCGCACTCCCCTTTAATACCGAAGTGCCTACAGACGGGACGTGAACCGTTACAATGTGATGAAAAGTAAAATCACACTTGTATATTGCCTAAAACGCTTGAAAAAAGCTGCAGCTTTATTCAAGAAATGGTCCTCATGAGAACTATTAATTAATACCATGGAATAAAAATGATTACAAACACTTCACTCTTTCCCTGAAGACTGTACATGACCAATTGTATGTAATTGACTCGACCCCAGAATCCTGACTTTTAGTCCTGAATGTTGTATATAAGCTAATTATAGAGTTTCTCCCATATTATCGCATGAAGTTCATGAATCAGTATGACTACGTACCAATTTATGTTCGTATTACCACGCGTGCTATTTAAAAAAGACTGGTATTTTCTTTCGCTGAGTTGGTTTTCTTGTTTTGACCTTTTACTACGCATCAAGACTACTGTTTTCGTCTTAATTGGGTTTATTTTAAAGTAATCTCCCAAAGTACCTTTATTTTAAAAAGTAATCTACCAACTGTACTTTTGAGTACATTGGTAGTTCTCGTATTTGATTCTACCCTTGGTTTAACAATTCAGTTCACTTTTCTATAGTGATCACTTTCTATTGTCTCTGGGTATTGTTTGTGTGCAGTTTCTTTTTTAAAACCTCTGACTGACAACTGGGCAGTGTAAAAAAGCAATTGTCAACTCCCAGACTGTCTATACCCTGTGCAAACCATCATGCAGTGCAATGAGTGCAAATGATAATATCACGAATCTAACGCTTGTAGCTTTCAAAGGGTTTAGTAAAATTAGTTGCATTTGATTTTGTCAGCAATGCTGTTCGCACGCGAAGCCATTGTAATGGTGATTGCTGCTAAAAGGAGTATTAACAAGCGTAGTTGAGACATTAAATGTTGCTCTCTCGGTCGACATACAAGTTGATGTAAAGTTACCTTAAATAAATTCAGAGTCGATTAACTTACGCGGACTGAAGGAAGGAGGATAGAATTCAAAGAGGTCCGTTAGAAATAAAAGCTCAAAAAAGGAAGTTTCTTCTGCTCCTCGCCCTCCAAATGGCAGCGGGCAAAAAACACCTGGAGACCCAATCGCAAGGCTGTCTATTTCTAGCGAGAAAAACAACAACCTAACTACCTAAGTTATCGACAGTTATCCAGGATACTACTGTATGTGTAACACGACTGTAATTGCTACTCCAATGAATGTAGATGGATGGGTGAAGATCAATAATAAAAAACGACTTAATGTTGCTAAAGAAAAGTTTGTCCCTGAAATAGCAGCTGAGAAATCGAAGACTGATCATAGTGAAAGGTCAGTTGTCTTCAATAGAGTCAAGGAAAGTGAAAGCTCAGAACCCAGAACTCGTTTTGAGCATAACATTAAGTTGGTAAAATACGTAATAAACTAGCTAATGCCTCAGGATATCTCCGAAGTCACCTTATTAAGGGTTTATAGACTGGGTAGCCAAATGGACTTGAAACAATTAAACCAGGCTTCTAAATGTATTAGTGAAAGGAACTTGATACTACGGTGGTCTTGAGTGCTGTTAGAGGTATGAGGGCGGTTATCACTTCCCGGATGCCCACACCGTGGAAGGGTTGTTCTAGAGGTACCTGAAAAGGAAATTGAATTAGAGGTGGTCTTAATAAATGGAATGGACATAAACTAAAAGGGTCAGGATTTTTGTCCGCAAAGAATTGCTGCTCGCGGACCATATAAAAAGATGAGTTGAAAAAGAAGTAAAACTAGGGTTAGATGGTGGCAAGAATGACCTTAAAATTGTAAATTTTCGGGTGGTGAGTCTTTGAAGCCATTTTGGGTGCATCATGGAGCCATTTAAATGGTCTTCAAATCTGTTATGCCAATGTCCGGAGCTACAGATAGACTCTACCAAGCCAGAAACTTGGCTGCTGCAGTCTATAGACAGTAGGGACTAGTAGTAGCTCCATTCATTCGAAATACTATCCCATCTGTCGTTATTGATAACATATCCTATGAAAGTGGGACGTGCTTATTAGTTAATTGCCACTTGAAATACAAAAGGGAAGAGCCGCTGATTATTTTTAGTCTACCAAAGTCCAAACTTAAATGAGTAAAGTCTTGTTAGACGGTTTCAGCTCTTGGTCATCAAGTGATCGGTGTTTAATCGTAGGAAACTTTAATGCACCTACGGTAGACTTGAAAAATCTGAAGACTGAACCGTCATAAAATTATTTCGAATAGAAACTCGTTGACCAGCCCGGTCATTAAGACCAAAGTCCTCCAGTGAAACGGCTTGGAACGCATCCAGAAATTCGTACATAAAAGTCACTGCACCACATATCCCTTGGACTACACCAAGGGGTCTAAAAAACTCCACCGTGGTTCACTAAAGAGATTTGCACCCTTCTCTATAAGAGGGGAAAAATATCGCTGCTGACAAGACAATCTCACTATTGGGAAGCTCGAAATATTTATGCCTCGACCCTCCGCAAGTCTACAAGCTTATAAGAAGAAAAGCTTGATAAGGAATATTTTTTCGCGAATCCCTTAAGCACATGTTTTAATCTATCTGTATCCCAGGGTGGATTACCAAAAGGTTGGAAGAATGCCATAGTAAGTCTTGTTTTCAAAACAGGTACAAGACATAAACCTGAGGATTATTGACCCGTAAGCCTAACCAGCGTGGCTGTTAAAATTTTAGAGAAGATTATTCAGAAGGAATTGTTTAAGTACCTCGACGAAAACCGGATTCTTTCTGAAAAGCGACATGACTTTAGAACAGGTAATTCATTTTCCACTAACTTATTAGTAGCCTGTGAAAGTTGGTACGCTCTTAAATACCGAAATTTACTCATAAACGTAGCTTACATTGACTTCAGCAAGGCTTTTGGCAAAGTTCCTCACAACTGGCTGTCATATAAGTCAAGTTATATCGGGGTTAGAGGCTTTTTATTTATATAGATAAGGGACTTCCTAGTTGGACGTCAACAAGGAGTACGGGTAAACTCGAAATTGTCTAGCTGGGAAACTGAGCTTAGTGGAGTGCTTCATCGCATAGTTTTGGGACCAGTGTTGTCCCTCCTCTATGAAATGACCTTCCTAGTCTCTCATCATCATCGGTCTTGTTATATGCTGACGATGTCAAGATATGGAGGGATAAAAAGTAAAGGTGATAGTTCGGCGCTTCAAAATGACCTGGAGAAATTATCTGAATGGTCTAAAATTTGTCGGTGGTCGATACATACACGATGGATAACAGTGAGCTATCTGTCGTCCAGACACATTAACTTGAAAGTCATCGTTAGCGAAAACTTAAAAACTACCGCACACTGCCATGCGATAGCCGGGGAATCTTATGGTCAATACGTGGGACCTTCAGCCGTGTCGATACTAAAACCCTTTTGACTTCGTATACAGTATTCGTTCGTAATAAACTCGAGTACTGCATACAAGCAGCTATCCCTTGCCTAAAGGCAGACAGTGAGCTCCTGGAAGAGGCTCGAAGAACTGCAACTAAGCTGACTCCCGGAATAGCAAATCTCCCGTATGATGCTCGATTGGTTAAAATAAGCCTACTTACATTATCATATAAAAGAACCAGAGGCGAATCGATCACAGCTTTCAAACTACTGAATGGTAAGTTTGCATCTGATATGCCCTCATTTTTCTTGTCTTTCAAAACAGAGAATTTACGAGGACATTAAAAAAATTCACAAGCCCAGAACAAATTACTTGTCAGTTGACTATCGACTTTCCCATGGAATCATCAACGAGTGGAATTTATTACCTCAACACGTGGTCGACGCTTTCAACATAAAGTTTGATCAACTGAGAGATCACCATTGCCAGGACTAACAAAGGCCACTTAGCCTCCTATTCTTTTCGGACCAAAAGACTCCAACCCTTAACCTAATTATCTGAGCCTAACTAAGAATAATATAAGGAATCTTGGAAGTCCATTTAGGCCCTTAAAAGGGTTCGAGAAGATAGACGGTATCCACTGGGACGAGTTTATGGTTATGGGTGGAGTAACCGTAAGAAAAAATCAATAGACTTATTAATTAGATAACATCGGTTGACACTTTGCAATATTGCCGTTGAATTTTCCATAAATTATCCACATATAAGGTCTTTTCCGATTAGTCAGGAACTGATTGACTACTCGTTGCGGTTGTTTTAAGTTCATTCGGAAAGTATATTTTAATTAGTCAGGCTTACTGTACAGTTACACAGATAATAGCTCCATATAAACATGACTAAAAGCTCACTTCAAAGAACGTATTAATTGTTTGTTACTTCTCTTTACTTACGTGCTTACCGTTTATTACTACAAAAGATACATGAAGACAATTATTTGTATTTTCCAGGTTAGCCCTAAATTTAAGTACAACTTTAATCCAAAGTTTTCGTAGTACCTTGAATCGATAGCTTTTTTGTCAGTCCGCCATCGCTAGGATTTCTTCTGCTGAATACTATTCTTTTGTTTTGTCGACTTTTGAATATTAAAGCTGATCCGGTTAAAATGATCCCTTACATAAGAGTAGAATTTCTGAATTGTTGACACTACTATAATTAGAGAGCAAACTACAATAAATTAAGAGTAAAGGTGGGGATTTTGGCTTCGTTTACATTGAAAAAATCAATTGTCGTTGAATGCTAAATCAAAAATATTAACTGTAACTTAGCTAATGGTGTTCTCGTTTTCACGCTTGTTGTAGCTTATGTCATAATCCTCAATGATGTATCTACCTTGGTTAGTTACGCTTAATCCAATCTATCAATTTGACCTTTAGAAGTCCATGATTTGCTTCCGAATTTCACATGTTTACACTGAGGCACAAACCATCTGTTTTAATGGCTTAAATGAGCTGATCCAGCTATAAACAGTATTCCATCACTCATTTGTCCATATCGGATATCCGTTTCGGCTACTTTGTCTGACGATCCCTTTGTAAGTTTTCGAATTTAGGCGTCAGTGTGCTGTAAGGAGCACGAAAATAACCACTAAAATTATATAGGACAATCTTCAGTCATATCTTTTTAGAAGAGTTTTAAAATAGTATCACTATTCATATACGATCTTTTGTGGATTGATGACAGATCTAAAATCCACTTCGTTTTTATATTGAATCACAACACGGATCAACAACCATTTTAAAATCAATATGGTCTTGCTAAATACTAAAACTTGGAATTAGTTCAGTACGTACTGAAGTACTATTAACATCTTCAAGAATGATTTCTAAGCATCAGCAGCATTGTATATATGTACCTTATAAACTAGTTAAGATCTAAGTTTCACAATACTTCAAAAATGATGGATAGGTTGTCTATTCTATGGCCATTTAAATCATAAGTGTTAAACAAAGAATTTCGTATGATTATATTTTATAAGTGTACCTTGACAAACTTAAGCTCTAAGCATATTAGTTCGTCGATTCAAATTTTCACTTGTAGAAACTAAAGTAGGTTAAAACTGGCCTAAAGAATAAAATCAGTGGATTTTCTAAAGTATAAAGAAGTGAATTAATATCCACCAATCATTAGGATAATCCATTAATAAGGAGAAAGCTACTCATATGTGTCATTGAAATTTACTTTAGGTGAGATTACTCAGTCTAAAACCAGATTCTCTCGTGAAATGCATTCACTACGTTAACAGTTTCTCCCTGTTATTTAACTGCTATTAACTTTTTAAATTAATAATTCATATTAGTCCGAGCTTTTCCGATAAAATAATCTCAGTTCATATAAGTCCTCAATCTCATCAGTCTATTCCATTAAAGCTCATCACCTCCTCAACCCCCCTATGTTTTTATAGCCCAATGCTTTTACCAAAGATCATCGATTCTTACTGAACTTCCAGAATCCTACATACTGTTCCTATATATACTTAGCCTTTTCAGGTGAATTGGGTTATCACTCAGAAGACTTGAATTTCAATCATTAAGTTCCAAGTTCAGATCCCACTCTACACATTCAGTTTGATTTACAATGTTGTTCCACTGTTCCTCAAAAATAATAAAGGTATTCAGTTTTTCCAACAATGAAGGTAATGTAGGTTGATACCGGTTACTTAGAATTGTGTATTCATGCTGAAATTTATTTGGTGATCGAGACTGATGTAATTTACTAAAGATGCGAAGCGCTCAATGTGCTCAACTATCTTAACAACCTGAAATCAAACTTCATATTTCTGAAGTTCTTTGTACTTGTTAGGTGGAAAACTCATGATAAAAGTTTTAAGGATTTCCCTCTGTCTTCCGACAGTTGAATGGCTATGTAACTCAGTAACTACTTGCACTTTCATGTACTAGACCATAATCCATACATTGTGAAAGTCACCTATACATCCTGGTTACTCAACTCTATTAGGTGAATTTTGAGGGTATGGGATCTTCAAACAGCTTGGGAGGAAGAAAGTCAAAACCAATTTAAAATGAGTTTTCTTCGCACCAATTTATTTAGTGTGAATTCTGTTCATAGACTTTCACTACGATTTTTGTTCATTCAAAACTACTCAGTTCCCAAATCATAATAATTGTAATCGACATATTATGGGTAATCTTAAATGCATTTTCGGATTTCTACTGTCCTAATCAACAAAGCTTTTTCACAACTAAACTTCTTAATCTTGTTAGCGGAACAGGGAAGAAGAGATTAGCAAAAGCCTCATGCACTATAGTGAGGTTGAAGCTAATAATAGCATCTTCACTTTTACCGAAATTTCAACATATTTTTACATTATAAACGAGCTGTGCTTTAATTGTGTAATTTGTTAAGTTTTTCCTACTTATTTCAGATGGACTACATGATAAGTACAGTCGATATATTCATTTCTTGTTAACAAAAGAAGGCCGCTCCTCATAATCAATTCATTTCTTTCTCAATGAGGCTAAGTAAATATAAACTTTTATCTTACAGAACTTTAAAACAAGTTAATTCAGCCATTAAGTCTCCTTTTCGTCTATTAAAAAGACAATTTTCAAGTCAAATTCAAATTTGTATCGTTGGTAGTGGCCCATCAGCATTTTATACTGCTCAGACCTTACTAAAAGTAATTATTCAATTGATCAAGTTAACTAACGAACAAGTGTAGAACCATCCAGGTGTGCATATCGATATGTTTGAAAAACTTCCTTCGCCTTTTGGTCTAGTCCGTTATGGTGTTGCTCCAGATCATCCTGAAGTAAAAGTATTGTCGGCTAACTTTTATTTTACTGTTATTTAATACAAGAATGTGATAAATACTTTTACAGATGTTGCTAAGAATACACGATTTTCTTTCTTGGGCAATGTTTGTATTGGAAGAGATATTAGACTGAGAGAATTACAAGAAGCTTATTCAGTCATTATTTGGGTTTGCTTTTATTTTCATAGTATGATAAATTTTCTATTTTACAAGGCTTATGGTACTGCTGTTGATCGGCGTTTGGATATTCCTGGAGAGGTATATTCATTTAAGATATCTGACAGATAAAGGATTTACCAGGTGTTTTGTCTGCTAAAGATTTAGTAGGATGGTATAACGGTGCACCCAGCAACGTCAATGTAAACAGCATTTTAAAAAATTTACGTTTAATAAGTTTTCTCCTGATCTCAGCTGTGAAACAGTTGCTGTTATTGGTATGGGGAATGTAGCAGTTGATGTTGCGCGGATTCTTCTTTCTCCAGTTGATCGATTAAGGGTAATTAAATTGCAATTTATGGATTTACATTTAGTCTACCGATATACCAGAGCCTGTGATTGATTGTCTATCAAAAAGTAAAGTTAAGAATGTCATTTTAATTGGTCGAAGAGGTCCTTTACATGTGGCGTTTACTCTAAAAGAAATTCGCGAACTCTCAAAACTTCATATAACTTCATCTCAGTCTAAATGTTTCATAAACTTACTACCAAAGGATGTATTCTCTGTAACTATGGGGACATCTGATCAAATTCAAGAGTTGTTATCAGGTAATACTTACCAACAGTACTATTTATTATGCAGTTAAGTTTGGAAATACTGATATTTTATTTATTTGGTTGGCTTCATCAATTATCTAAGAGAAAATATACCTAGTTTTTCGTGAAGAATAGCATAAACAGGTTTCCAATGGTGGTCTAACATTGATCGATTCATGATAACGATCAAAGACTCGAAAATCTTCACAACCCCGTACTGATAAATAGGAAATTCTATCAGATTAGCCTCGAATGTTCGTGTGTAATTACGTCTTATCAGGGCTATGGGTTTACCGGTTGAACGTTGCTGTAAGAAGGTGCTCCATGTTTAGACACAAAACTTATCATCTAGCTTAATTTGATAACTTTGCCACATTAAAGTTGCTCTATGAAGATATTTGTAATGAAATACATTAAATTTCATGTTATCTGCCGTTAACAATAGTTTTATCTCTGGGATAAAAAAAGTGCACTGTTCCGTAGTAGATTCACTTTTTGGTAGGAAGTCAGTTGGTCCATCTACACTATGTGTCATTTTGCTGTCGTAAAATTAATCTATATATATTTCTTTAGTCAACAACCTTCCTAGGGTAACTCAGGTTTTCAATAAAATGAAGTCCCTGTCCTATGTATTAATGCAAACTTTACCTGAAGATTAATAAAATCATGTCCAAATCATCCCTAATTTCTTAGTTTCTACATTTACCATAGACACTTCATCGTTAAACGCCAATCCGCCTTCAAATAAGAGATAATTGTACGGAAAATTGGAGGAAGGGATCGTTACTACCAGGAACACCTATGTCAAAATCTAAATGTTTAGTGTATATCTATTTCAAATAGTGGTTGGCTAGCCTGCAATTTTACGCATAACTAGTTTACCACATTTCTACTTGTTCTTTCCAAAAATCGTTATCCTCAAATTGAGTTTTTATCATATAATTGTAAATACTCCGATAAGTAAATATTTGACCTAAGAAGTACCAAGACTTAATAATGACTAAAAAATAATCACAACCCGACTTATAAAATTTCTCACAGGATCCAAAGTCACTGAATACGGATTTAGAAAGGTGTAATAGATAGTTAAGAAAAGCTTAAGCTGAGTTGGAACCATTATTATTCGTTCCTCAGTTTTGATTTCCTTGAATATGATTTCAAAAACCTACCTTTAACAATTTTTTTAAAAACGGCATATATATTGACGTTCTAACCTTATTTACAGAACTTCCTCGCCCTCGACGTCGTTTAACAGAATTTCTGTTAGAAATGCATAATTCTTCCGATCACAAGACGAATCATACAGCATACCCAGTGTATCATTGTAACTTACAGTTCTTACGTTTTCCAAAAGAAATTGTTTCTTATGGGGAACATCATTCTGACAAAAATCGTTCCATAGTTTCTCACATAAAATTAGCAACAGTTAAGTTAAGTGTAAGTGTTGTAACCGTGAGATTTAAAAGTAAATATTTGTGTTATTTATACCGACATTTTTATACTGATTTATAATATATTTATAATTCGTCTTTTCAGGTGTGATTACAGAGCCATGTATTATATAAAATGATAATTTCATATCGCCATTTATTAAAGTTTTAAATTTCAGTCGTAAGAATGCAAAACGGTGATGCGTAAATAGCCTTTCCTTTTGAGCGACGGTCTTCCAATACACCTAAGCATTGCTTTATTTCATGCCACATTCCCACCAATCTTCATGAGTTGCACCTACAATATGAAATCAAATAAATCATAAGCAAGTTATACACACTTATATGGAGTATTGTGTGGAAGTTTATGCATTCAATGTAATATCATATAACTCTTTTAGTTCGGGCTACGAAGTTCCAAGTGTAAAATAGATTCTAGTAAATTAACACGAATTGTAGAATGCTATATTTAGAACTGCTTATTATCTCTTGTTCTATCTTGAAAGTATACATATAAAATCATTGTCGGTGATTTTGCGTTACATTCCTTAAGTGTTATTGTTATTAATCTTAAATTTAGTCTCATCCTCCTTAATTCACATGCTTAAATTATTTATAATTTTTCACACTGTATGTAAAACAGATTTTGACAATCTAAGCCTATATAAATCTAATGGTAATTAAAAACTCTGAAAATTCGTTATCGGGAACGATGTTTTCGATAAGAAAATGAATAAAAATTTCTTATATTAGAATTTAAAAAACTTGAAATCTTTGTGTCTATCTTCTTAAACCAAAATGTTTCTCTCGACGTCATAATTACTACTTACTTATCAGTGGGTGTCGTCTGAAAGAGAAGTCACTAAATTCTTGTGGTTAACGGAATACTTGTTACTCACCACAAATTGTGATCCAGTATCTTATTAATGAAAACAGAATTCAGTTTGTCATACTGGATTATGAATCAAATTCGTTATTATTTCCTAACTGCTTCATGACAGAAAGTCTGCGAAGAAAACTATGAATGAGCCGAACAGGAATGAAGTTAGACAAAATAATTAGTTCTCCATATTATCCTCTCCTAGAAATCTGTTTTTTTTAATACCTGGAAAATCTTATTACTGATTGCTTTGCTGAATGCGACCATTAGGAATCATTTAGATCCATGTTCTATACTTGTTGATATCTATCAGCAGCGTGAATATACGGCCCCCAGTAAATTTCATACTTAACTGGGCATTGATACATACGTCGTTTGACGTCTTTAATTGTTGACAGCTGTAAAAGAACCCTGACTTATTAATGTATAATGGTTGATTTATGACTGACCATCACTGTATGTTTGAAACCTAATACTTATCGCTAAATATTAACTGATTTTATGTATTTTAGAAGGATGTGGTCGTTGTTTACTATTTTGCTTTACGTAACCATCAAGGCTATCTAGGTCTTTATTCATATTCATTTTCTTACCACCTAGAATCTAAAGCTTACCTATTAAAATCAATTTGAAGAGACGGTGCATAGCCATCATTGTTGTAGCCATTGATCTGTGCAGACTGGTCCACTTCGAAGATTGTCTTCGTCATGAAGTAACACTAGACACAGAACTATTAAAAACCAAGAGATAAACATAAGACAGTTGTTTCATCTTATTTTGGGACTTAGCAACACCTCAAATTTTAGCGTTTCTCCAGCTGATGTAATAACAATATCTGCATATATCCACTAAATAATACAATCTGTTGGCATTTTTTTCAATTTCTTAATTTAGTATTTTTGCCGATAAGCCTTACGTTCCAGGTTAAAAAACATTGATCAATTTCCATTGTTTAGATCATTTGGAGGTAAATTGTTTTGCTTATATTTAATGAAATGACGCCTTTTCTGATTCAAGACAAAACATTACATCTTTTATTTTTATCTTAGGGTCCGACCGGTCCTCATCAGCAAGGTGTAATAGACGATACTCAACCCTTAGAAAATTTACCTTGTGGCTTAGTTGTGCGTAGTATTGGCTACCGTGGCGTCCGTATTGATCCAGATTTGCCATTCGATGAACAACATGGAGTGATTCTTTGCAAAGATAACAATGGACGCGTAGTTGATCTACCACAAATTTCATATAGTTTCTCTTTAAGCCCAATGTATTGTGCTGGTTGGATTAAACGTGGTCCAATTGGTGTAATTGCTGATACGGCTGTAGATGCTCGTCAAACCGCTGAAACTATTCTTAAAGATTTATCTGAATTTGAAAAACGTGGTCATGTAGATGTATTAAACAAACGTGGACTATCTGTAGTCCAACGTTACCTTAACGAAAGAAGTTAGTTTTTGCCTTTTGACCATACTTACGATTTCATCATGTTTTTTACACATGATATTATGTGAGAAAATTAACAAGTATCATTGATCAAGCTTGATGTTTCACTCTGTACCTCTTTTTACCTATTGATTACATATTTAGACTAATAGGAGGCTCACTTGGGACATCTTAATACTGCTTATATTATTACACTGATTATTCACGTTAGTGGTACTCAGTAACCAAGTCTCCATTTGATTATACAACTACCCACTGTTGAAACTAAATTGGGTGAAATGAGATTCTCGCTTTCAACTTAGTCTTTTGAATTATATCTTACTACGAGAAAACCAACATAAAAATATAGTTACCACAGATTGTGTTGGAAAATGTACTGGACATGTATCTATCTTTCTCACTATCAATGTCAAGCTATGCATTTGGTTTGTAAAGCATTCTGTTACGAGTCTATACTTTTAAAAAGTCCTGATCAGGAAATTTTTCGTATTACTACATTAATTAAAGTCATCGACTAATAAATTCGTAGATTAAAACGTTGCATTGATCTAGTTACCGTAAATCGGATTCCAGTTTATTTCTCTAGACCAGTCGGAATTTTACATGCAGGTTGGCAGTTGTAATTTATGTCTTCTAACTCATTTATCAATCACTTGAGCAGTCAATGTTTTCAATTTCCTGTACACTTAAAACTCATTGATTAGTAACTACACTTTTCACTTAATTATCGTATTGCTACATGTTTGTGATCCGTGATAGTTTTTTGATGAATTTCACATGCGTGAATACAATTGGTTCATAAAACAAATATCTTATTACATATACTTTCTGATCGATTTTACGTTACACTCATTAGCATTTCACAAGTGATAAGTTATTAGTAAGAGTCATCGCAAAGTTCATGTTTAGTTTTATTTTTATCGTTCGAATAATTTTCTTTTCACAGCTTTGTGCAGAAAATGTGTGATTTATTGACCAGTATACACGCGAATATCTCATCACTGATTGACTTAAATATTTAGTGAAGTAGCGGTGTATGTTGTTGTATAAAAGGGTGTATACTAAGGTTTACGGAAGCCTTAGGCATACGAAAATTCAAACCCATTTGTATGTTCAAAAACAGTTTGTTCTCACCTTAAACGCACTCTGGTAATATTGGCTTATTATCCATAGTGACTAGGTTCCAAATTGTGTCCACATTATTATTATTACTTTTGTTATTATCCTTGTCTCCTCTTACCCCATTTCCAGTCTAGTTGACCTTTTATTTTTATGTAAAAATGTTCTTAACAAGTATAAGTGTGATCAGATTGTTCGAAATGTATTGCGCTAACATATCGCATCATACAAAGGTACAAGGAGGTACCAAATACATATGCGCCACACAAATCTCATTCGATATGTGTGAGGGTTGTGATACTGCCCGGGTGCCCAAACCGAGGCAGGTGGTTTTCTTAGGGGGCCACACCCGGAGCCTTCGACCTGAAGGTCTGATCCACAAGACAGTGGAGCATCGTAAGGAGATGCAGTCTTATGGAAGCCGGTGACCAACGATTGGTTCTAAGGCCATTTGTTCCTTCAGGATACTGGAGCCCATGTGTACTATTGGTTTGAAATCCGGTTAAAGCACCGGACATTTGCTTTTCATCCTCTCATTTTCGTAAACAACACCGCCACGAGAAGGCAGTGAGTAGGACTACACTGGCAGAGGCTATATACGTGTGGCCATGTGAGAGCATTTCGAGAGGGAGAGCGGACTCTTCCCACTCTCGGCCGTACCAGGGCATTTGGGGGCAACATATCACATAGTTCTGATAATCTTCGTCTTCTCATTACATTATCGAAATTTATCAAAGGGACTAATTACTTTAAAGAAATAGTGATAAATGAAAGAGAAATTTAAAGTATGAATATATAATCAGGACAAAAATTACTTATTTTGAAGTTGTTTTATTTTTTGTAAAGAATATAATGGAAAGTTACGACTGAATCTTTACGGACCTATACTCATCCATTAAAATTATCAATGAAGGAAATAAAGATTATGAATTGTGTCACCCTACAGTATGGTTATGCTTAGAAATCATAAGAATTGGGATTATTTTGTCCTAAATTAAGATCTATGACGGAAAAATGTGTTTTCTATTATTTAAGAAAATCTGTTAACTATCTACAAGTTTGTTTGCTCGACTTCCAATTACTCATTTCTCTTGTGAGGGTCGGCAGTTTTTTTATGTCCAAACTGCATTTGATGGTGTCTAATTCGAACTTGCAAGCTGTTGATTTAAATCTGAGGGTACCACCACAGTAGTATTATTCCTCACTAATAAAAAATGTATTCCTTAAAGCTAATTGCACAAACCTAGATTTAATAATTTGTAGAATATAATTTATTCGGTCACAGTTTAACGAAATTCTGAATTTGTGATTATTGTTTTTTCTTCAATTAATGTAGATATACATGTTGTAAAATTTAAAAATTGGGAACGTATTGATGAAGCGGAAAAATTAGCCGGTCAAATACTCGATAAACCAAGAGAAAAATTGACTACAATTCAATCGATGTTAAAAACAGCTTTTACTGATGTAGAACAACCTAAATGATCTCGCCGATAGTTTCTAGTTGTAATATTCTATTATTTACTGTATAAATACCCTAAGTAGTAGGATATCTTTAATAGTTTGTATTCTCACTTCAACTCTAAATTTGTGTAATGCCAGTTAAATTTCATTATTGCGATATTGTATAAAAGAAATCAATTCTTATTCTGACTTTTATTTTACTGTATATGGTGTCTTCATGATATTGTATATAGCCAAAAAATTTTAAATTATTTTCGTATGTTCAAATTCTGTGGTATGGGTATATCGTTAGTGATAAAATAACTATAATATTTCGGCATGGATTACTCAAAAGTATAAATTGTACCCAAACAGAATTAGATTATTTTTAACGTGTTCCACAGTATACCCTATTTGGATTCGACTTAACATTAAACCTTCATCAACCTAAATAGTTAAAGCCTACGCTACCCATATATAACCACCTCCTACCACAATATCTCATGTAACTCAGCTGCGAAGTACAGGATTTTATGAAGGGTTTTAACCACGCTTTGTATGAAGGCTGACGATACTACGCGGCTTCCCAAACTGGAATAAATGGCACACGATTCAAACTTGTAGCCCATTAATTGTATGCCCAGTTGCCTAATCACAATACCACTTCTTCAAGTACGTTGTATTCATTAGTGTTTGAGTAAGTTGGTAACAGGTTCGAGATAGCCGAACCAATTTATGGTATCAGTCTGGCGTAGAAGAATGCTTGAAGCCCTCTAAACCCTGTGTTTGGTTCCTTTTACTGTTTCTTACTTTTCTATCATCATACATATCTTTACTTAGACTTTTTTTTATTTCTATCCTGTTTTGATGTAATTTGAGGACCGATATTTACTTCTGTCACGTTCTACGGTGTTCATGAATGAATGATTGCATGTTAATTCAGTCAAACTTATGACACTTAGGTGTGTATATCGATGTGTACCAGAATGTCCACAAATGGTTCTTATGGTTATTCTCCATCATATGTATATATCATGGTGAAATTATATCTTATTAATTTGTGCAACTAAATCCCAAAGATTTGGTTGGTTCCCGTTTCATTTGTCTAAGTTTAGGCATAAAGATGCAACCATTATCGCTCGCAGAAGAAATGTGGGTCATAGTCGAATGTGTGAATGAGAATTTGAGTACAATTGTGTTGCTAAGGCATTCCTGTTAAGTAATGTCAATGATATCATTACAACATTAATTTTTAGGTTATCTTTTTAATAAAAAAGCTCCGAATTACAACAAATTCGTGTATGTGCTATAGGAATCCACTTGTGTGTATAACGCTAAGTTAGTCTTCATTCTATATGTTGATGATTGTTAAGAATGTCAACCACCGTACACCAAATTAGTGGTCAGAATTCTAAGCGCTTGCCTCGGATCCCGAACGTCTGGAGAAATCACGAGTGAACACCGCCAACGAGTCCCAAATTAAGACTGAAGGGCTATATGATGCTCCCTAGTTTCCAATATCTAACAGTCATTTCGTGATTTGAAATTCTTATTGTCTTACTTCCATCTTATTAAAAATGGGTAAAGTTCATCCCTTCAGTTCTTGCTACTACTACATAACGACAGCGAAACTTTAATATTACTCCCAAAATCGCAATCAAAGAAAAGAGAACGTGATTCGGTTACATTTAATTATAACACCAAGCCGATTAGGTCGAAGAAACGATTCCAAGGTTAAACTAGGATGAACATTATCAAACGACATCATCAGAATGTCGGCCTTATAGTGAAGAAATCCTAGTTGAGAACACATTAAGTAATTCAATTCACGTTGAATTCCTGAGGACAATATTCGCCTGTAAATATGAAAATGATGATTGTGAGCGAGTGCGAAAAAAATTCTGGATAAGGTGATATTTCTCTGCTATTTTTGTTAGAGTTCGAATAGGATCAATAGTACAGTTTATGGTTTGAATCATGGGTTAGTATATATATAAATTGACAAAAAGGTCTGACGGTCAAGAACCTATTACAAAGTCGCTCAATTTTAGGATCACAACTAAAATTAACCAAAGTTTCTATATTAGCAAACCTTTCGATTCTCGGAAGTTATAATACGGCATTTTTATGTGTATTAGTAACAACAATGCTTTTATAAGCGTATAATGAGACAGAGAACTAGTAGAGAATACAACCAGTATGATAATAGCAAAGATTAGCCTGGTCGAGCATTTCTTTATTCATCAAAACTATAGCTTGCTAAATGAAGGGAAAACAGCTCTATCATTCGAGGCGCTTCTAGAAGCCAATTCAAATTTAACGGTCTGCACGATATCGAATAATGACAGTGCAATTACGTTATATCCGCTGCTGTTACCGACTGTGTTTATGAATAACTTATAAACAGTTGATAAATTCTGAATACAGGTGTTAATTTTATTATATGACTAGACGAACAAATAGTTAAGGCTGATTTCAATTCACTAGATTGCAATTGTCAATTTTCTCTATATAGAATAATCGTTCCCATAATTCTTCAATAGCTTCTAATTTGTAAACTTATTTTTCTGGGTTTTTTAAATTGCCTTTTAATTGAATTAACTTGATTTCTCAAAACTAATATTAATTTAAGTGCAGATTTACTTAACAGCATATTTACAAGCTTTTCACTTAGTTTATATCGGTTTTCAAAATGTTATTGTCAAACACTTATTTGTTTCTGTATTAGTTCTTTTTTTGAAGATGTGGATTTATTTAATGTTGATTGGTAATATTAACCAGATTTTCACCAGAAGAGATCTCTATTTCGTTCTACTAATTTGATATTAAACGTCTGTACTAATTTTGCCAGGGTTGACTTATATGGAAATTGGAATAAAAAAATACCTTAATGTTTAGTTTCAACTTAGACAGGCTAAGGTAGTTTCTCACTAGGTTTTCGTAAGATTCTTCATTGTACTTTTCCTTAGTGGGATATTTATCTGTCATTTATCTTAGGCAAACTTAATAAATTTTATCTGGCACATAACACTGTGACTACAACTACAGTCCTTTTAGAGTTACTGACGGTCACAAGTTCTAATAAAGTAGGATTGGATGTGGCGTTAGCAACTCCATTCTGTAAAAAAGACGGACATATTTGCTTCGCAAAATGAACGTTCGATTTCACAAGACTACAATAAATTTGTCCCAACCCATTGCCATGCTGCACGTGTAAATACTTGAATCGTGTGGCACTTTTAGGGGTTGTTTTATCACAATACATACTACAAATAAGTAGACCGTAAAATTTTGTCTCCAACTGGGTGATGCAATGCATAACCATTTTCATTAAAACAACTGTATTACTTGTGAGTAGTATATTTTCAAATCGACAACTTCAGATACTGTTTCTGAAAATCATTATAAAAAAATCTAAATTAATATCACTTAAAATTTTCTTTCAGAAATATTGTCAGATGTGTGGGAACTCTTACATCAGTTTTAATGTCTGTCAACCAAACATTAAGGGATTTTCCAAGTTCGCCCACTTTCAACTGTCCTAACTCTGTGTGTTGATTTGCAAACATTTTAATTACACGCAATTACGTAGATATAAATGTTGAATTGGTTTGGTTCGGTAAACTTTACGTCAACATTAATAATTGATCAATGAAACTCTTTGTGTATTGAAGTAGAACAAATTGCCTAAAAAACACGGGACATTAACAACATGTATTGGACAAACGTCATAATCATGTGTCTCATCAATATTGACTCAAAATGTTAGTAGATTAGTCCTACTATGTTATCATTTGTGTTAAACTAATTCTATCGATATACCAATAATTAATCATTTAGTGAGGGCTTCTTAGATGACATTTCTTGTTTACTTGATTTAGCATGTTACCCTTTGGATAGTATAGGCCATAGACCAGAGATCTTCAATCAATTCTATCAGGAGAGCTTTTTCCAACTTATTCCAAAGTGCTATTTACGCACTTGAAGTATGCATCCCACCAACAGCTCAATTTTTTCTTTGGTCTGCCTCTTTCCATTATACCATAACTATTACGAATTCGCTCTTGCCTTTCAATCATTTCCGTAAACTTTGACCTAATCACCTCCAGAGCATTTTCTTAATTCCCTCATCGACTGTAAGATAGTTTATTTTATGACATAGTAGTTTACTGCTGAGAGCCCCTGCTTAATGTACCCGGAGTATCTTGCACTAGAGGATGTTCAATATTACTTGTACCTCCTTGGTAACGGTCGTGATAGTTATCTAAGCGTCATTCCCAAAACGTAGGACTGTTTTAACGTTAGTGTTAAGAAATCTGACCCTGGTGTTGACCGATAGTTCTTTTGGATTCCAGACGTTCTTCAATTGTGGGGATGTTGTCCTTGCTTTCCTGATTCGTATCATGATATCTTTCATGTTTATCACTGGTGCTGTACAGGAAAATGAAGAATTCCATTTTATCCAGAGCTTCGTCATCAAGTGTGATTTGGTTACTGCCCGTTGTGTTTAATTGTAGGTCATAAGGTCTACTTCTCTGGAGGCCCTTGGGACCCTGGCTTTCTTCGCCTATATTTAGTTGCTGTTTGTAGGATAGAAGGACCAAGTAATCTGCGAATTTCGGTTCGGCCTGTTGTTTTCTAAGTGTCCACTGTATTCCATGCTTCTATTGAGATGTTTAGCTCTTCAGAAGCAATAGGAATGACGAAGGTAGCCAGAGTTGTCGGACATAAGAATTCACTTGCGTCACATTTGTGAGCTGCCCCCATCCACGAGTTTCCAATTCAGCGCTTTGTAGGATTGTCGTACAATCTTTTCAGGTACTCCATTATATTTAATTAGATTCCACAATGTCCTCCGATCTACGCTGTCAATTGTTTTTTTTTTCGTAATCAAGAAACTTAATTTATAACAATAAGTTCCATTTAACTGATTTTAATACTGATCCGCAGTGTCACGGTTTTTTGGTACACTATTCATCCTGAAGAAAGCCATTTTACCTATCTTGAGTTTGGACATCTAGAGAATCTTTCTCTCGGTTCAGTAGCGCTGCTAAAAACATTGTCTCATACTGATATTAGTGTTTTGTTACTTAGTTAATATTTGGATCTTCAGATATTATAATGATCAAATCAATTTGTCAAATTTTCGCAGCTTCGTTACGAAATATGATAATCGTTCAATTAAAATGGAAATATTTGATC